GACAGCTTGCTTGCTATTGTGATGCTGTAATTGGCTACAGCTAATCACTTAGTACAGGGTGCAGGTACCGTGTGATAGCTGTGGACCAATCACAGCATCACAATAGCAAGCAAGCTGTCATGAATGAAAGCCATTCATGACAGTTTTGCTTACATGTAATCACTATGATTGGTCATAGTCATCACATGTCTACCGTGACCCGCTGTATCTACCAGTGTGCATGTGCTCAGTGATGTACCAGTACGTTGCCTAACCTGTAGCTGCCACTTACCTGCAGTAAATGTACTGTGGGAAGGCGGCAAATGGTTAGAGCTGAACTTCAGGTTAAAATCATCTTGTGTAAATACAAGAAGCATGTGTATTGTTATGTGACTCTTTGTGTGCTTAGTGTATTTCTTCTAGATCTATGCCATAGTCTAGTGGGAAGTTTTGCCTCCTTACAAGAGCTTCCTGGAATAAAGGCCGGTCATTTCTGCTCTCTATCCTTGTGCAGAGGTGAATGGTCTTGTCTCCATCCCCTCCTCTAGTTTTCTGCAGGCAGCCTGTAGTGGGTGGGGTCTGATGGGTCCCTCCCACAGCTCTTCTCTCTGCACAGGCTATGCACAGCACAGTGATGATGCCACTGCTACTTTTACAAGATAATACATAGTTAGTCTGGCTGAAAAAAGACAAAGTCCATCTAGTTCAACCATTAAAAAAAAAAAAAAAGTTATAATCCTATACCCACAGTTGATCCAGATGAAGGCAAAAAAACCCAGCAAAGCATGATCCAATTTGCTCCTGCAGGGGAAAAAATTCCTTCCTGATCCCCTGAGAAGCAATCTGATATTCCCTGGATCAACTTTACCTATAAATGTTAGTATCCAGTTATATTCTGTGTATCTAAGAAACAATCCAGGCCTTTTTTAAAGCAATCCGCTGAGCTGGCCAGAACCAACTCTTGAGGGAATCTATTCCACATTTTCACAGCTCTCACTGTGAAGAAAACCTGTTTGGAGATTAAATTTCTTTTCCTCCAGACATAAAGAGTGCCCCCTTGTCCTCTGTGATGACCTCAGGGTGAATAGCTCTACACCGAGTTCACTATATGAACCACTGATGTATTTATACATGTTGATCATATCCCCCCTTAATCTCCTCTTCTCAAGAGAGAATAAATTCAGTTCCTCTAATCTTTCCTCATAGCTGAGCTCCTCCATGCCTCTTATCAGTTTGGTTGCCCTTCTCTGTACTTTCTCCAGTTCCCCAATGTTTTTTTTGTGAATTGGTGCCCAAAATTGAACTGCATATTCCAGATGAGGTCTTACTAATGATTTGTACCGGGGTAATATGATATCTCTCTCTCTGGAGTCTATACCTCTTCTAATACAAGAGAGGATTTTGCTCACTTAAGAAACCGCAGCTTGGCATTGCATGTCATTATTAAGCTTGTGATCTACCAGAACTCCCAGATCCTTCTCCACCATACATAGTATGTGCTTTCAAGAACATTTGGTGCACATAATGATGCTATTATGGAATATGGTTTAGCTTAAATGGTGGCACATTTAGAAATCAATCTGGATTAGACCAATCAGAGGCATGCAGATGTTCATTGTGGATTCCCACCTAATGAATGAATGGATTTATTCAGGAAGATAGTCTGGTAAGAAATTATTAACATATTACCGTAAGGATCCAAAATTATAACTATATAGGAAAACAATAAAGCCAGAGGAGACACTGTTCACTTTGTGGAAAAACGAATAATTATTTGGTGACATCATCATACCTCTTTAAAAGGGGCCCGTCTGTTGTGCATTGGGCAGTGCAATTACCAGCTGCTGTCAATCCATCCAGATCAGAGCTAAAAGGACGGTTAACACCTGAATTGCACAGGAACACAGAAACTCCTGCAAGGAGGCAAAGCTTTATGCCACATGTATGTATCACTAGGCAGCCAATGTTTCTGTGCTCAGAGCATGCTCCCAGCACAGAGACTGAGCTGTCAAAGACAACTCTTGGTCCCCACTAATGATCAGTAGCTGACTGGACCGGTTCCAATCATGTGACCACTGTAACAGTCAATCACAGTGGTCACGTGATCGCCAATCCATCCCACCCCCGGGCATTCAAAACTTTTTAAAAGGACACTGGGGTGAGTGGGAATGGATCAACAGACCAAAAGGAAACAAATAAGTTGATTGTTCAGGTTTTCAAACACCTAAAGCTTCCATTTAGGGCTTAGTGTACATCCCATCTCCCAGGAGCCACCATCTTAGTTAATCCGTAGACTCTGAATCCCCAGACTCTGGGTTGTGGGTTTTATCGATGTCTATTACAAAGAGATGATATTCTGGAATCAATAGACATCATTTATCCACAGCTTGTGCATTTGATTCCAGGTGAAATTGTTGGGGGTTCCCAGGGAAGTACAAATTTGTCACTTAATTTTTCTCGGAGAGATTCTTTACCTCATCAGAAGCGCTTCAGTTCCCATGGATGACAGTCTGAACCGCTAGCAGAGCCGCCGCTCTCTCCGTCTGTCTCTCTTAGCGGTTATTAGCCACACTGACAGGTTGACAAGCTGAAACTAGAAGTGAAACATTTAAACACTGTATGGTGATGTACGCCTTCGTCTCGTCCTGTCACACAGCGATAGAGAGCAGATTTCTTACTCCATTTGTCAGCGGCGCGGATTGTGTCCCAGTTCCTTCAGCCACACGCTCCGCTGAATTACTAAATGTGACTCATCATTACAAGCTCACACAGGTCACTTCACCAGATTCACCGCCAGTTCCTTCCCCTCCCAGGGGCTTATTCACATTACAGACTATTACACTGCTTTACAGAAGGATTCAGTAGTTTCAGGAGAGTCCCAAATTCTCAACTACAAGCAAAAAAAAAGGAGAGATTTGTTTTCCAGCTCCAAGCTGCAGAATTTTCTTTTAAAGGGGTCCTCCTACATAGCACCATGAAATGAGCATAAATTGACATTCCACTCAAAAGTAATTCCGATGTAATAGGGAGAGGCTGGTGGGATTTTAGACCTTTTGGAGGATAGAGGTGAAAATTGTTTTAATGTAATGTTTTCTGAACTAGATTGTGCCTTTGGTGAGACTTACCCTATAGCACTTTATATCTCTGGACTCCCAAAATGGGGAGATTGCTTCACATGAGTTTGTGTCTGGAACCCTCCAACCATAATCAGATTTCCCTGCAGTAGTTTGTGTCTCTGCCCTTCCCACAATGGTGATTTTTCCATGCAATAGTTTGTGTCTCTGCTCCTCCCACAATGGTGTGATTTCCCGACAGTAGTTGGTGTCTCTGTCCCTCACACAATGGTGAGATTTCCCCGCAGTAGTTTGTTTCTGTGCCCCTCCCACAATCACGAGATTTCCCCACAGTAGTTTGTGTCTCTTCCCCTCCCACAATGGTGAGATTTCCTGCAGTAGTTTGTGTCTCTGCCCCTCCCACAATCGCAAGATTTCCCCACAGTAGTTTGTGTCTCTGCACCTCCCACAATGGTGAGATTTCCCTGCAGTAGTTTGTGTCTCTGCCCCTCCCACAATGGCGAGATTTCCCCGCCATAGTTTGTGTCTCTGCCCCTCCCACAATGGCAAGATTTCCCCGCAGTAGTTTGTGTCTCTGCCTCTCCCACAATGGTAAGATTTCCTGCAGTAGTTTGTGTCTCCGCTCCTCCCCCAATAGTGAGATTTCCCCGCAGTAGTTTGTGTCTGTGTCCTTCCCACAATGGTGAGATTTCCCCGCAGTAGTTTGTGTCTCTGCCCCTCCCACAATGGTGAGATTTCCCCACAGTAGTTTGTGTCTCTGCCCCTCCCACATTGGTGAGATTTCCTGCAGTAGTTTGTGTCTCTGCCCCTCCCACAATGGCAAGTGTCACAATCATGCCCACAGGGAGAGGCACAGTTTCCATTTTGCTCCAGGTTTCTGCGTTTTGGTATTTCTCTTAAACTCCCAAATCAGTCTCCCTCCTCCGATTTCTCCCCTCCCTCAGGAATGCAAGCAACGTATGATGCTGAGCCCTGCCTAACAAGTCCTCTGCCAAATAAGGTAGGGAAGATACTAGTTGATGTTGTGTAGAAAAAGAAGCTGTTCGTTTTTGTGAGGAGTCAGACAAGTGAGGACCGTCTTGATACAACATCTATCAGACAGAAAGCAAAGGAGAATCTCGCGGCAACAATAAAACCCAATGCGAGACCAGAAACCCCTTTTTTAGCTTATCAGACTTGACACTGCTTAACTCCAGGCATTTATTTGGCAAGTACTTATTTACCTAAACATCTTTCTGTTATCTGTTGCTGTGCTGTTGTGCTCTGTATATTTATATATATATTTATATATATATATTGGTTACATCTTCTTTCTGTAAATATTCGTACTGCACCTTTTTAACCTTTTGGTAACAAATCTTACTTTCTGAAAGTGTTGAATTGTTTCTATAGCTCTTAATTGCAATTTACAAATCCCTGCCGAAGAACGCTACTATGAGTATTTAACCCTCTGTATAACCGATCTGTAGAGATAGTGGGATACTGACGGTTAACCAATCATCCTAGTGTACTGCTGAGTTTCCTCTTTCTCTGGATAAAAAAAGAAGAGGTGGCACTGTGAAGGGTTAATTGCGTAACAATCGCATTCAGGCTGCCGGTACGTCCAATTAACTGGAACATCGTTATGTAGGATACAGCTGGGTGTGGCAATGTTACGCATGTGACAGCGTGGTTTTCGATTGGCTAGTCCTTCGGTCATGAGTTTGGTGAGAAGGGCTGGTGTCTGACGCCGCACCCGTCACAGTGAGATTTCCTGCAGTTTGTGTCTCTGCCCCTCCCACAATGGTGATATTTCCTGCAGTAGTTTGTGTCTCTGCCCCTCCCACATTGGTGAGATTTCCTGCAGTATTTTGGGTTTCTGCCCCTCCCACAATGGTGAGATTTTCCTGTAGTAGTTTGTGTCTCTGCCCCCTCCCACATTGGTAAGATTTCCTGCAGTAGTTTGTGTCTCTGCCCCTCCCACAATGGTGAGATTTCCTGCAGTAGTTTGTGTCTCTGCCCCTCCCACATTGGTGAGATTTCCTGCAGTAGTTTGTGTCTCTGCCCCTCCTACATTGGTGAGATTTCCTGCAGTAGTTTGTGTCTCTGCCCCTCCCACATTGGTGAGATTTCCTGCAGTAGTTTGTGTCTCTGCCCCTCCTACATTGGTGAGATTTCCTGCAGTAGTTTGTGTCTCTGCCCCTCCCACATTGGTGAGATTTCCCTGCAGTAGTTTCTATCTCTGCCCCTCCCACAATGGTGAGATGTCCTGCAGGTATTTTGTATCTCTGCCCCTCCCACAATGCTGAGATTTCCCGCAGTAGTTTGTCTCAGCCCCTCCCACAGTGCTGATATATCAAGAAAGTAGTTTGTGTCTTTGCCCCTCCCACAATGGTGAGATTTCCCCACAGTAGTTTGTCTCGGCCCCTCCCACAATGCTGATATATCCAGGCAGTAGTTTGTGTCTCTGCCCCTCCCACAATGTTAAGATCTTCCAACATTAGTTAAGCCATTTATGAAGGTGCCCCTTACAATCTAAAATTCACAATTGGCTTTTTAATATCAATGACAATTAGACAGAGCTAGGTTATCTGAAGTGCATAAAAAATATTAAGCCATGGACTGAGTTGGAAAATTAGCATGGTATTTTCTATAAATGGACATTAGAGAATGGGGCGGTCAATGGATTTCCGAATCCGCTTCTTCAACCCTTTAATCAAGCCAGACACCTGGAGCCATTTATGGACAGTGTCCGCCGCACCGTCAGCCACGCAAAGCAAAACTCACTTTTTTTTTCCTTTCCGAATTTCCGAATCGTCCGCTCATTTAAACGACTATTAATCTCGGTGCTCGGAGCTCCGTTGCAGAACGAGCTGTGTTTTGACTGGTGGGCCTGTTTAATGTAAGAGATTTATCATTGTTCCCTGTGTATACACAATAGGCCTTTTATAAATTTAGATACTTGGAGGAGAAACATGATACATAAATGTTATTACAATACATTCTGCGCTCGGTTGCAGTGTATATTTTTGTCAGCAGGAAGAAATACACTTTACATTTTCAGCTGTCAGACGTCATTTTTCTGCCTCTTAATAAATAGATTGATTTAGATGAATGTATTTGGGGTTTTTCCTACTTTTACTTCTTAATTTTTATCTCATTTTGTTCCTGGAATGTGTGAATATTGAAAGGTCTACAAACTTCAATACTAATGAGCCCAACTAGGGACATTTGTGTTCACAGCCCTAACTGTGTGGCCCAGTTCTGGCTTTAGGATCTTGGAGCTGTGTTTTTGGATCTCTGTGTTTTCAGCACAGAAAGTCTCCTGGCAAAGGATAAGGTAATTAATGAAGGATTAATAAATGTAAGGGTTTAGTTTGGAGATGTTTTTCTCAACCAGTGTTCTCCTAGAAACTCCTTGAGCAGTGATCAGTGATGGATTCATCTCCTGGATGAGAGTACCAACACCACTTAGCAGAAAAGGCCTGATCCGTGCACCTTTCAACACTGAACTTCAACTGGACAGTCACTTGATCAGCAAGGGGCTGGAACAGAACCTGCCTGCAGGTATGTAGTTCCCCTGCTGGCAGCTCTCCATGCTGTAGAAACCATGAGGCCTGCTCTAACTCTCAAAAGTGGCCAAGCCCCTGCTTTCAGCCTCCAGCAGTGGTCCCAAGACAGCGAGCTTCTCCCGGGTCTGACCCTAAATATCCTCTCCCAGCATTCTCCACTTCTTTCCAGTTGGCTGGACCTTATAGTTTTTGGCAGCACTGGCTCCATGCAGAGACCCGACTCCTTGGACTACATGTCCCATAATTCCCTGCTCTCTGGGCACAAGATTCTGGCTACTATGTTGGGCACTGGAGGGAAACAAGCCCAATGCTGTCTTTTCTCAGTGTAAACCAGCGCAAAACACAAATGTTACAATAATAAGTGAATATAAAATTATATAAAAAAACTTTTTTTTAAAGTCCAGTGATAAATATAAGTGACCACAAACCCGTGACATATAAAAATTAAAAATTTTTTTTTTTTAAATTGATTTCATAAATCAAAAGTCCAGTGATACCCAACAAAAACTTTCTAGAAAATAAACTTCAGTGCTTCAAATAATTCTTCCACCATCCACCAGTGCCGAAACCAACATAAACCGCACTCACCAGATATTGGTGAGTAAAACACCTTTCAGGATTATTTAGGGCTCCTGGACCCCCTTTGAGGACTCTTCTATTTTCCACCTCAGATCTATGGGTATTTCTCCACTCGTCTCCTCGCCAAATCACCAAGTTCCAAAAAGGAGAAAAAGACTAATAGTGTAATACTGTTATACCCCTTATTAGTTAATTCAAGCCAAACCACTCACATTTCATAGGATAAAAACCAGCATTTATTTATAGACATCAATCGAATTTTCAAACAGCAAACAAATTTCCACAGCTCCTAGGAACTCACAGCCTTGTATACAGCAGGATGACAGCCTCCATAGAGAACAAACTTCCTCCACTAGTCAAAATGGCCGCCTGGAACGCACCCCTCGGCGTGCGTTCCACTCACCGGAAATGACGTCGGACGCATAAAAACATACTCACAGACGAAGCATGTATCTAAAAAGCATAGAAAAATGACAATGGCCACAACGGCAGGCAAGGTGTTCTCACTGTCAGTGCGGTCAAATGGCTGACGCGTTTCGGGGACGAATCCCTTTCCTCAGAGCTGATGACCAACCTGTATGGAGGTCAAGTAGTAAATAACCAGGGCTAGATGCCTTGGGAGCAAAGCTCCACCTCCTCTATTTGTTATAAGATGAGGGGTTGGAGGGGGTTATTTAAAGTGCAATATTTTGTAGTTTTTATAAACGCATATACATACATATATACACATGCATATACACATATACAAAGAGATATGCATGCACTAAGAAACAAAGCAAAATAAAAAATTATTAAAAATACATGAATATAGCACCTGCAAATGTAAATAAATAGAAAACATTTTTTTAAAATAAAATAAATAAAAATAATAATGTATATGAAAATAATCATAGTAGTAACACTGGCAATGATGATAAAAATAGTAATATTAGTAAACATCATAAAAATAAAAGTAGTAAGACTAGTGGATAATGGATGATTATCAGTTAAAAGTAATGTGTGGCTGTAGACCATATATATCTCTTCAAACGTGAAGCGGTGAGCAAACTGTCAGCACTGTGTAGTGATATTGGACTGTTGTTGGGTGACGAAAAAAAAAAAAAAAAAAAAAAAAAAAAAAAAAAAAAAAAAAAAAAAAAAAAAAAAAAAAAAAAAAAAAAAAAAAAAAAAAAAATTGGGAACATTAGAAAACATAAAATAAAGAGTGTGTGTATGGGTAAATGAATGACCTTTAGGAGGCAATGGTTAAGTGAATGGATGAGACATATGAATATGGTGTAGATACCTCTGATGCTGATGCACGATGAATGGAAAGTAAAGTGAGAGCCCTGCTGTTGATGCCTGAGTGGGATGGTGAGGGAGTGTGCTTTTATACCTGTGGGGAAATGGCTGCTGGAATGCAAACCACAAGACAGGAAGTAAACTCCGGATGACTCATGCCTGGTATCCCTGGAACAAAACATGAACAGGTGCAGTGATTGCAAGGCTCCTCCCAGGGGGGAGGGAAGAAGGGAACTGAGTCAGCTTAGCCATGTGGAGGATGGCTGGAGGGGGTGAATGTGGTGTTGTGGTGATATGTTCTATAATGGAAATTAACCTATGAGAGTGGCAGACTTCGGGGGCAAGGGAAAAAAAAAAAAAAAAAAAAAAAAAAAAAAAAAAAAAAAAAAGGGGGGGGGGGGGGGGGGGAAAGGGAACCAAGAGGGCAAATATGTTTGTAATGAATATTGAAAATGTAATGATCAACATGTCAGAACTGAGGGGAGGAGGAGGGAAGGGGGATACAGACATGTGGTGGGTATTGTATGATGTATGGCGTGTGGCAAAAATAGGGGGGGGGGGGGGGGAGAATGAGAGAACATGAAACTAATGAATAATAAGTCTGAGAGAAAAAAAAAAAAAAAAAAAAAAACAAAACAAAAAAAAAAAAAAAAAAAAAAAAAAAAAAAAAAAAACACACACACCCTCTGATGCGGGTGTATATTAAAAATATGTGATAAACTGATGCAATTGTGTTGGTTTAACTGATCGCAAGGAATCTGTATATATAAATAAATAAAACAAAACATCCAAATTCACACCGCACATGAGAAACTGAACATAATCATAAACTATGGTGGTGGAAAAATTATGATCATGAAGACTATTAATAAACTAATGAGAACAATCGTGCAATAAAAACCATATGAACCCTAGTGGCTAGGGGCGGATGGATCACCCGAGGGTCAGGAGCCAGCAGGTGCCCCATGAGGTACCCCCGGAGCCTCCCCATGTGCCCTCCCGAGTGTGGGCAAGGCCACAAGTGCCCAAAGACCCCCCACTGGCAGGGGTCCCACGAGCCAACAGTCCGCCCCTACTTTTGGCCATGATAGCAGGAGAATGACATCTCTAGGAACTAAAACGGTGGTATGCCTAATGTATTGACCACAAAGAAAGTGACTTATCTTAAAAATATATCCCATCACCCAGATGGGCATATATATTGAAGAAAAAAAAAAAAAAAAAAAAAAAAAAAAAAAAAAAAAAACAAAAAAAACACAAAAAAGGGGGGGGGGGGAGTGAGTCAAAGGGGATAAATATTAAAAAAAACTAGATGAGAGATTGGATATCCAACCCCTCATTTAGCCCTCTGGGTGATAGTGTGCCCAAACGGTGGATCCAGAAGGTTTCCCTCTGGCATAGACGGCGGAAACGTCTGCCTGTGTCTATGTCCTTAGGTATGCTGTCCAAACCGAACACCCTAAGACCCATGGGGCTCTTGTCGTGTTTTTCTTTGAAGTGGTTTGGGATGGAGTGTTTATCACGACCATGTTTGATATTCCTTTTGTGTTCCCCAAATCTTGTACGCAAAGTGCGGATGGTACGACCCACATATAATAGACCGCAGGGGCAAATGAGACAGTACACCACATATTGTGTGCTACAGTTGATGAAATGCCTAATGCTGTATGTGTTGCCATCATGCCCCATGACCTCTTTTTTTTGTTGTGCCACATGTACTTACAACAGCCACAGTTGCTGCCACCACATTTGTAACTACCTTTTTGGTCAAAAAGTCTGTTCCAAGGGGACCCCATTGAATTTTGAATTTTTTTGACTCTGTTAGTGGCTATGTAACTCCTATAGTCTTTTGGTTTTCTAAAGATAACCTCCGGATGTTCTGGGATGTTACTACTGAGAAAAGGGTCCTGTTGTAAAATGCCCCAATATTTTTTTAAAAATATTTTTTATCTGGAAGGCCTTGGGGTTGAATTGAGTGCAGAAGGCAGTACGTTTGGTAAGCTGTTTTCCTTCAACGCGAACCCGC